GTTTCAACTACAGTTGATGTTGTTGAGATGATTGTTACTGACACTCTAAGTTCTGGAACAAGAGGTGATGCTTGTATTTTTATTGGAGTTAATGTTAAAATTTGAATTTGCATTTAATCTATATTTCATGAGAAAGATCTTAGAAATTTCAAATGAATTGTCGAAAGCATTACCAAAAAAGAAAAAGAAAAAAGATCAAGATATTATCAATGCTATGAGATTGGTACAATTATGTAAAGTACAACTCCAAACCATGAGAGATGATTGATGTGATTCTTTTTTCAGAATGATTTTTTCATTCTGTGAAGCTCATGAGATAAATGTTCCCAATATGAATGATATGTTCATAACTTTAGGTCGTTCACGACGTGATACAATGACAAATTTGCATCATTTTTCGTGTGAAAATGTTTTATGCCATTATTGATATCCAACTTTAAGAGCTGAATGATTGTTTTTCTGAGGTAAATAGTGACTTGCTTGTTTGTGTTGCGTGTTTGTGTCCAAATAATTCATTTGCTGCCTTTGACAAGAACAAATTGATTTAACTGTATCAATATTATTCGGTAGATTTTGACACAACAGATATCTTTGACATGCACACTTACGAAGATTTTAGAGAATTACAAGGCCTTAATAATCTCGTACAAAAGTTGGTTGTGAATAATAAACATGAAGTTCATTCATTAGTTTAAAAGCTTGCGACATTAGCCTTGGATCTTCTTGCGGCTACTACCATAGTCGAGAAAGCATTTTCTGCGATGTCAGTTGTAAAAAATCGTCTGCTTAGTCGAATCGGAGATCAATGGTTGAATCATAGCTTGATTAAATATATTGAGAAGGATGTATTTGACAATATTGAAAATAATGTCATCATGGAATGTCATTGAAGTATGAGAACTCGTAGAGAACAATTGTAATAAGATATCGAATATTTAATTTTATCCATCACCCTTTTAACAAGCTTGATTGTGCCCTACTAATTCAAAATATCTGTGTCCGTCGCTGCTTAGGGTTTGTTTGATTGGAAATTTTTTCATGAAAAATGACTCTCTTTCACTTAAATTCTAATTTTTAGAGTGTTTGATTGCTATATTTTCCATGTAAAATACCTCTGAAAATGTCTACTTTTCTTTGTTTTTGAGGAAAACACTTTCTTTTAGGGATGGGTTCTTGTTTTCCTCAAAATAAGAGAAACATTTTCTTTTCTAAGAAATTTTCTATGCCAATAAAACACATTCTTACTTTTTCAAACGGCAACCACACACTCAAGTGCACATACAAACCAAAAGAATGAACTCTCCAAAATACCACACCATTGGACGCACCACCATTTTGGCAAGCATTGTGTGGTTTTTGTATATCTGTGTGTGAATAAAATTGACAACAAAGAGAAGAAAGAAGAAATCATCGATGAATTATTTGGTTTTTGCATATTAGGGGCCGATTGGTGGTAAGAGTGATGGGTGCAGAACAATGGCAGTATTGAACTAGGTTATTTCAAGTTTGTAGTGGCTATTTTGTGGTTGTGCTTGGAGGCAAAAAACTCAATTTAGACATTAGCGGTGTCGATGGTGGTGAATGGCTCTGAAGACGGCTAGGTGGTGGGCAAGTATTTTTGGTTGATCTAAGCGGGGTGATCGTTACGAGTCAAGTTGTGAGTGCGAAAGTGGGTTGGTTAGTGCAAAACTATATTTTATGATGTTGGTGGTGTTGATTTAGTGGTGATTGTGGCTGTGGCTGTGGCGGTGTAAAAGTGTTTGTCACAAGTGACCATCGTGTAACAATAAAAGTTATGCTCGTGAAATACTAAATGTTACAATCGATGGTGGAAGCAATCTCGATGATTATGAAGGTTGGCGACAAAAGTGTGTAAGAAATTGTGTTACAAATGACGACGACGACGATAACAATGATAGGGATGGTGAAATGTGTGAAACTCATTATATTACAAAATAATTAAAATTAAGAAGAATAAAGACAATATTTTGGGGAGGGGTTTAAAGTAATCGAATTAGTAAATTTTTTAAGGATGTTCGTGAACTGTTCCATATTTTATTTTGAGGGGAGTTATATTTATACTATATTTTATTTGATGCACAGTGCTTTAATTGCATTTAAATTCTCTAGTCTTTGCTCATTAAAGAACTCATTTCTCTAACTTTTTTATTCGAATTTTTTCAATATTTTGTTAATTAGTACATCTTATCCCTGATGATAGTTTTTGTCAAATTATTCTATTTATGTGCTTTGAAATGAGTAAAAAATAAATTTTCACATTTTTATATTCATTTTAAAATAAGATGGGCAAATAAATTGTTTCACACTCTCGAATGAACTTTTTAATAACAAACGTTATTGATAATGACGTGTTAATTAATTGAATGTTGAAGATAAAATTACAATGTAGAAAGTCAGGAAAATAATTATTATAATGAAAAAAGATTAAGAATCGTAAAATGAAATTAAAATATAGGCCCCGTTTGATAGCCATTTTTTTCAAAATATATTTTTTTCTCTTTTCTTTTCAACCACACATCATTTATTAAAATAATATTATACGTAAATAAAAATTTTTTTCCTTATTTTTCAATTACACATTTCCCGCCAATTTACTATTGAAAAATACATTTTTACATAAAAATGTCTTTCAAACACAATATAATTATCCTCGTAAACATCATGTCATTTGTTAAATTGTTGGGTGGACTTAAGAATTGTTATTGGGCTTATTGTGTACTGGGCTAATATTAAGCTCTTGCCCCAATTGGATCAGGGTTTAAGAAAGCTTATTTGGATAATTAACACAAAACGTCTTTACCTTTCAATGATAATGTGCAAAATGTCCATACCTTTCATTTTTTGACACTTTTACTCTTACATTTATTTTTTATTGCAAAAATCATCAATTTCATCAAATTTCTTGTGTAAAATGACAAATATACTATTTATTTAAATAAAACGATAAAAAAGAAAAGAAAAGTTAAATAATAAATTGCAATTATAGTCTCAAATTTCTTTAAAAAGTTCAAATGAACTATTAAAAGGGCATTTAGCACAAAATGTCCCTAACTTTGATTATTATTGTGCAAAAAGTTCATATATTTCATTTTTTTGATATTTTCACCATTATTTCATATTTCAATATGAAAATCGTTATTTTTAACTATTTTTTCAAGTAAAAGCTATAAAATGATAAATATATACTCCTCTTTAAATAAACAAAAATAAAAATTTTAACAAAATAAAGAAAAATAAAAAATAAATTACAATTATACTCCCAAAATTTTCAAAAAGGTTCAAATAAATTTTAAATAAATAATTAAAAAGTATTTTTCTTTTCTTTATTAATGTTTATTTAAAGGGGAGGACGTATGGGTTATTTTACAGCTTGTAATTGAGAAAATGAATGAAAATAATGATTTTTGCAATAAAATATAAAAATAAAGGTAAAAATGCCAAAAAATAAAACATAGAGATGTTTTACACAATAATAATAAAAGGTATGGATATTTTGTGCTAATTACCTTCTTAATAATTTATTCGGACTCATTTGCACTTTTTAAAAAGCTTGGGAGTATGATTGCAATTTATTCTTTAACTTTTCTTTTCTTTTTTATTGTTTTATTTAAATAAGGGGTATATTTGTCAATTTATATGAGAAATTTGAGGAAAATGATGATTTCCGCCATAAAAGGTGAAGATAGGGGTAAAAGTGTCAAAAAATAAAATATATGGACATTTTGCACAATAACATTAAAAGGTAAAGACGTTTCGTACTAATTATCTTTTTTTTTTTTTTTTTTTTTTTTCCAAAAAAAAACAAAACTTTTTTTTTTTTTTTTTTTATAAATTTTGATTTTTGTTGGTGAAATCTTTTAAGTGGATAATAAATCCACACTTCGAGCAACGGCAACACCTATTGTTTTCTTACATTAATGTTTTTCAGATGCATATTTCTCTTTTCTTTCTAAATAAATAAATGCTTGTTACACAGATGTTTTAAAATTTCTTTTCTATTTTCTATTATATGGTCCAAGTGCCCCCACCCACTTGCAATTAATTTTAACTTTTAGCTGTATTTCCCTGAATTTTTGCCTTTTTAAGTCAGGACATAGAACTTCCAAATCATGCACATATTGCCTACTGTTGAAATACTTCTATTGTCTTTTATTTAAAATTTTCTATTAATGCTGTGGGATTTAATCTTGAAAACTGTTATTTGTTAGTTTATTTCTATCACAGAATTAAAATAATGCCCTTTTCCATGGCAAAAAATGAACACTTGATAAGACATGATTTTATGTGGACACGTGTTAATCATTTGAATGAGTATTACCCCGACTTTTGAGACGATGCTAAAATCTGATCCTATGGCGCTCTCCAATTTTAAAAGGATTGAAAATAATTTGTTTGCTCATTGTATTATTATAATATGCAAATTATACGGTCAACACACAAAAGTAAATCCAATTAACGGTTAATTTTACAAATTTAACAAAAAATATTTGTCTGTGTTATAAATTATAACATAGTTTTATTTCTTTTCTCTGAGCTCAAAGTAAAAAATGTTAGCATAAAATTCCTTTTATGTTACTCTACAAGTGTACACAGAAATATTTCCATCTATCTTCTAACATATGTTTTCTAATTTGCCAAGTTTGCTTACGTTGACAAATACATTTATTTTTTTCTCAAACCAAAGATCACGTGAAAAGATTTACGTCAAGTTAATTTAGGAAATTTCGAAAAAATTATTGAAAGAAATTGGAAGAATAATCAACCCAGGAACAAATATAACCAGGAACAGGATACTGCGACTTGAATCCCCCATTAAACCCGCATCTCTTGGGCCCACTCCCACACCCACTCCATTATTATTTCACACTGCACATATAAACCCATCATGTTACAGTCCCATCCACTTTTGTTGATTGACTTTATTAGTGCAATGAAGATTGTTTCTTAAATTTCAACCCTTTTAATTGCCTTTTCCTTTTGTGTTAATGTTATAAAGGAGAATCTATATATACAGATTCTTTGAATATTCTATTCGTGTAATAATTAAAATGGGGAATGCTAATGGAAAAGAAGACGGTGGCGACAGCAGCCAGTCTGGGGTGGAGAGCGGTGGTAGTGTGCAGGATCGCATGGTTGATCAAGGTGGTGCGCAGGGTGGAGAGTTCATGGGTCAGTCCCCCCCTCCTAGCCCTAGGGCTTCTCATTCTCCTCTGATGTTCAGGCCGCAGGTTAGTTAGTCTCTTATTTTTATGGGTTTTCAAGATTTTCTGTTCTTATGGGGTTTCAAGGTTTTCATTATGTATCAAGATTCTTGCTTATTAATTAAGAGTATAGATTTGATCTTTTTGGTTCAGTTGAGTGAAATTTGTGTTATTGAATAGTACTACACTGTTCTATCATGTGGGCACTTGTGAGATTTGTGCACGGATAATTCTTGTTTTCAGTAATTAGCTGGATCTGATTAAAGGCTGTGACTTTAATTGTGGAATGATTCGGGGAAAAAAATGTTGCCCGGGAATATTGTCATGGAAATTAGGTGCACATAGTGTTTAATTATTTGACCAGTATTCTTTTTAACGAGTAATGTATTGTTTCATGAAATTTCTTGAAAATGTGATGGGCTTCAAGGACCTCTAATGAAAGATTAATTAATGTCAACTATTTGGAGAAATAGAGATTAATGTTTGGAAGTGATCATCCTTCTTAAAATTGCAATAGAATTCGTAAACACGGGGATATGGTGATAAAAAGTTGAATATTGGCCAATAATGGGTTGTATGGCTGAAATTCATTACATCTGCCACGGGTTATATGATTTTGTCTTTGCGCCTGTGGTTTAATGTCGATCTTTCTTATGCAAAGAAATTTATGTTTACAGAGCTACATGGGGCAGTTGCCCTTGGATTTGGGAACCTTCTTTCGTAGACGTAAAATTCTCTGCTTTGACTCTTCTCTGGGACAGTCTTGGCTGAAAGCTTTTCGCAGCTACAATTATCAGCATTCTTTAAAAGAAAAAAGTTATTAGCATTGGAATCCAATGTTTCGTGAGAAGGATAGGCACTACTGTATACTTTGAGAGTCCTTTGCACAATGGATGCCCAGCTAGCTTGAATCTCTGTACCCCACCCATATAACAAACTGCAATTCTTGGTTTATATTGCTCAATAGGATGCTTCTGCTGAACATGGTGATGTTTGATGGAGGGAGTAGCTGGTGCGACATGGATTTCAAATAGGCAAAATTGGAAGAGAGATGAATGAGAGACATAAATGCAAAAATGAAATAGGTGAAAGGATTAAAAGTAGTGGCCTTTTGAAGCCTCAGAGATCCCTCCGAAGAATTGCAGGACAATTTTTGCTGGTTGTTTTTTAAAAATCTGAATCATGCTAAAAATTCAACTACAGTAATTATAGAGACTTGGAAGGCATGAGGATTTGGAAGGTTTCCTAATTTTGTTTCTTTGCTTTCATTTAGTTTGTTGAACTGTGAATTAATTTTTTAGGTTGGATTTGGCTGTCTTGAAAAAAGTAAAGTTACTTACAATTAATTTTTAAGCTTAGCTAAACGTGTTTAAGTTTGGAAGTTACTTCTAAATAATTTTTCTGTTTTTAAATATGTTTACCAAAGTGAAAAAAGTAACTTTTAGTTCAAAATTAAGTCTATATTTAATTTTCAGAAATGTACCTCTACTTCTTTTCTAACTTAGCCAAACATGCTTTCGCACACTCAACTAAACTTTTGGCTCTGTCAATCAACAAAATGGACTTTTAGCTCAGATACTCACCGTTAAGGTGACAACTGGAGAGATTTTTAGATGACTTTTGCTATTAGTCTGTAATAGTCAACTTATGAAGTGTGGAAGCCATTGCATTACCCTGCCTGATATTAGATATCTACTTAAGAGAATTTAAAATGATCATATCTTGCTTTGTACATTCAGATGCCAGTGGTTCCTTTGCAAAGATCTGATGAGAGGCACATCCCCAGCCCATCATGGATGCAAACAACATCTGGGTTTGAGGACATGTATATGGAGCGAGGAATTCCAACTATGATCATATGGAGCCATGGTGGCCAGGAAGTGGCTGTGGAGGGATCATGGGACAACTGGATGACAAGGTAATACTTAATATTATTGCTTAAGCAATCAATTATCCAGCTCAGGCATTTACGAATATAATTAGATTTTGCATACTGGTATCTTTCCATCAGGAAGCCATTACAGAGATCAGGGAAAGATTTCACCATTATGAAAGTACTCCCTTCAGGAGTTTATCACTATAGGTTCATTGTTGATGGACAACGTAGGTATTGCCCAGATATGTTATGGGACCAGGACGATGCTGGCAGTGCTTACAACATTTTAGACTTAAAGGTACTTGTCTGAATATGTTCTTGCCTGCATTGTATAGCTTTACGTAATTGGTTTCTTGTTTTAATATCTGGTTGCTTTATTCATTCTTTTTACACATTAAGTACAAATAGATTAAGAAGACGTAACCTGTAGATTTTTTTGGGGACAAAATATAGAAATGTAAAGTTGAATTTGATCCATGTTTTGTCCCATTAAAATAGCAACAACAAGCCCCTCATGGGGTGGTCGAATTGGTGGAGTAGGGGAGCGCGGAGGCTTTTGGTCACGAGTTCGATTCCCCCTACCAACACTTTCTCGGTCGAACCTGTTGCGTTGGGCTTGCCTAGTGCAGTTTACATGACTGGCGTGATTTGCAGACTATTGCGTTAGCTCGAGAGTTTACCCAGTGCGCATCCGAAGGGTAGCGTCATTAAAAAAAAAATACAGCAACAGCAAACTACGAATTTTGGTTAGCTTACATGAATCTTTCTTGCCACTCCGTTTGGTGGTTTAGAATTTTTTTCTTTTCTAGAGGTAGCCTTATTACATTACTAACTAGTAGCTAGTCCTTCTCCTATGATAATTGCCATCCGTTTTCTTTTGTTCCATTGGAAAGACATGCTCTGATACCAGTTGATAGGATATCACCAGGAAGAACAAGCTTGAACACTGATTTTATTCAATATGGAACGATTACAAGTGCTGAAAAAATATTAAAGCCTGTAGAAGGCTGTAAACAAAAACGACTCAAATCTTACTCAATTTCTGCCCTCATCTCTTCTTCCTTCTCCACGGTGTTGATGCAGCCGTCTGTTTTCTTTTGTGCCATCGGAAAGACCCGCTCCGATACCAGTTGATAGGATACCACCGGGAAGAACAAGCTCAAACACTGATTTTATTGAATATGGAACGATTACTAGTGCTGAAAAAATATTAAAGCCTGTAGAAGGCTGTAAACAAGAACAATGACTCAGACTCTTACTCAATTTCTGCCCTAAGCTCTACCCTCTCTCCCACCTTTATTTATAGCTACTCCCTAACTAATTCCCTCCCCTCACGTGCCATAGTAACAGAAATCTGTTGATGCACCTATTTTTCAATCCTTCCAAACCCTTCTAGAACCGGTGGCCTATCAGATAATTGCCATATGCATCCCTTTAGGTTCTCTTTCTGATCCTTGTAGAACATGCACTGTGTATAAAAATTGTTTAACTATTACTGATTTATATATATATCAGAGGAAAATGTGAAGGTTTGTCATGCTGACTATAGGTGTAAGTATGTTTTGGAGGCATATCATATTCATATGTTTCCCATAATGACTTGTGCCATGACTAACAGTGAAAATATGACGTGATATGTTTTGTTGGCATTTAGAGCTCTAATTATGAGGTCATGAATGCTATTCTATGTAGTGAAGTTGTCAAATTTTTCTTTATAACTTGAGGTTTCACCTTGCCTCTTTGTTGTAGTAGCAGAGAGGGAGAATAGGGAGAATTTGGCCTTCCATTGTAAATGATGCTACTTTTCAAAGTAGTTTTGTACAAAATTTCACTTGAAGTCTAATGGTTTCTCTGGCTGTCTCAATTACAATGAACAACCATGTTACAATAATTTTTCTTTTTTATTCATAGGCAAATAAAATATCAGTTTGAATGAATCTCAAGATCCTTTTTTCTTCCTCATATCCAATATATTCTTCATTATTTGTAATTAAATATTTTTTTATTTAAATGTTAAAATCCATGTTTCTTCCCGCATATATCAGTGCCTCCTGAATTATTAATTAGAAAACAGATTTTCCCCTTCATTTCTATGAAGAGACAATTCCCACAGTACAGACAAACTACTTACCAAAAAGACCCTTTGACAAACACCAGAAGACCAATGTACCACTATTACTTCGTCATCTCTTTTTTTGATACACTATGTTGTTTAACCCCATCCCAGCACACCCTAATTGGTCATATTTTCTACTGTTTACCACCCCTGTCATATCCATAAATCCTCCCTAGATTTTTGAATTTCTGACAACAACCAAAATTGGCGGAAACTCGTTCAAAAAGTAAAATACTAGGATTGTTTCGGTGTGCATCAATTTGTAGAGAATGAAGTGGGAGGGAAGATAATGGTATTCTTACTGTGAATGATGACTGTTCTTTTTTTCTCTATATTTTTGTGAATAATGTCAGCTAATTGGAATTACACATTAGATTCAGTGTGGCAATGGTGTAAATAGATGTTGCGAGTGGGTTGAGTGGCAAGTGTGTATTGCAACTTGGACACTTGGTGCAACAAGAATTTATAATAGGAGTTAATCGTAGTAAATGGATCGTCTAACTGTGCTTTCTGGCCTGTTTTGATTGCTGTTTAATCAGGCTACTATGGTGGATGGCTGACATGGTTGCAGCATTTAGGGTGTATTGAACTTTATATACTTGTTTAGAATTTTTTATAGCATTATCTGACTTTCGTTGTAAGGTTAATTGTCCCCTACTTTATGTCATTTGAGGTGCAAACAGTCCATTTTGGATGGCAAGTTAACAGCTTGGATTCATTTAGCAAATATTTTTAAAAAAGGGAGTTAGGTGGTAAAATTAAAGTTTCGGTAAATGATCTCACAATTTGAGGGGAAAAGGCGGATCTAACCCTAATTCAAAAGAATCTTTCCTTGGATAGTAAATTAGCGTGGGAGTGTCAGTACTGGTTGTTTTTCTGTGAGCATGTGCTTTGTATGTGCAATGAAGGTTTGACATCCCTACTCCTCAGTTGTCACTAGGAATTTACCACCTTCTCCTAATGATCCAATGGACAATTATTGTCTGAATAATTGATCTTTTACTAATCACTTCCTTTTATATTTTATGGATCTTTCACCATGGCATTCACATATCAGTTCCTTCATTTTGGTGGTGTTTAATTTATGATATGCGTTTGGTTTGCATGGGATAATGAGTTAGCATTTTTTCGACCTCTCAGAATGTCATGGTGATCGGTTGCTGCTTGGCAGCAATATTAATTGACAAAATGTTTCTTACTGCCTTGTGTGTAGGATTATGTCTCGGAAGATATCGATAGCATATCAGGTTTTGAACCACCCCAATCCCCAGATTCCAGCTACAACAACTCGCAACTTGTTGCAGAGGACTGTGCAAAAGAACCGCCAATGGTTCCTCCACATCTGCAGTCGACTTTGATTAATGCCCCATCATCTCACATGGAAATCCCCCCTCCTTTTTCAAGACCTCAACATGTTGTGCTAAACCATCTCTACATGCACAAGGATAGGAGCCGTCCATCAGTGGTGGCCCTTGGTTCGACTAATAGGTTCCATTCCAAATATGTGACCGTGTTGCTTTACAAGACCATACAGAGATAAATTCCATATGAACAGCAGTATTTTCTACTTTGTAACTAATAATTTGATATAATTATCAGAAGTAGATGTCAAGACCGTTCCTTGTGCTGACATTGGGAAAAGCCATCAAGGGAGCTTTAAAGTGTATTTGATATGCAAATGCTTTCCTGTTTATTATCTTCTTCTGCAAATCCTGCCTCTACTTTCGGTGTATATGCTTCTTTGATTGAGGGATTCGATCATATGCTTATGATTGATCTTGCCATCGACTTACGACAACTATATGGACAAAAGGCATCTCAATCAGTGTTCGATTCATGTGCCCCCTCCCACTTTTTCGTAGTCTTGATTAAGAGTTTCAGAAGGTGGAATTGTGGGGGCAACTTTTAAGTTTCCTGGGACTGCCACGAAGTACGGCAGCACATTCACCTTTACTGGATTTGCCTGGCTGAAATTTCTACATGTTTGTGTGTAAAATTAAGGATCTCCAGGACCACAATCTAGTATGTGCTAAATATCCTAGCTTGGTCCGAATGATGATAGATTTGAATGATTTAAGGCCATCAATTTTATAATTTATATGGTTGCTGGAGAATTTTCAGAATTAAACTTAGCAAATATTCTTCAATGGATGCAATTTACGCATATCCTATTCCAAGATGTATAGAATTATTTCCCTTGAAACAACAGGATGTAGAGTTATTTTTGAAAAATGCTGCAGAGGGCACAAACTTTGGATTACCAAAGAACAGTATAATTAATGATATATACTAGTACATGGCAAATTTAACGTAAAATAACTAACGAAAATGCCCTGAAAGTAAACGAATCGATTACATAACATAGCAAGCATGTGGATTGTCATCACTGAACATTTGTGGCGGGTACGCGTAGTCCATGTAGCACCTGGGAGGAGGCCAGTATTCGCTTTTCTTGATGTCGATTTTAGTATCATCTTCTTCCTTACTTTCTTCTCTCTTTTCATCTGGTTTTTCTTCCTTTTTTTCCTCGACTTTCTTCTCCTCTTCCTTCTTTTCTTCGTCCTTCACTATTGATGCTTGCTTACGGGTTTTCTTGTACACGTCGTTTACAAGCTTCTCAGGATCAAGAACGCCTTTCACAATTACTTTATCATTTGCAAGATCAGTTGTCACAGATTCTACACCTGGAATGCACACAATACACAATGCATTGTGAATTAAGTCCTGCATGAGTTCACTTTGAACTTTGAAGAATAGCAAAAGTTATTTACCTTTAACTTTTCTAATTCTCTTATGCAGTACTTGAGCACATGCTTCACAATGCATTCGAACTTTTAACACTACTGTTATAACAGCAGGTGGCTGCAAGTAGGACAAAAACTTAACATTAGTTTAAAGTCATTTCTATTACTTGTAGAAATGGCTCATAATAATCGACGTTTAAGAATGTAAATCTAAGTTCAACCCAAATTAGAAAAGGAATAAGTCCCTTGTACAAGGGAGATTGTCAGGGCAGCGTACAAGGGCTGAGATGGCAGCCCTTGATTGGATATTTTAAATTTGTTTCTTGGGCAAATTTCAATGAAATGTTGTCATTAGGCAACCTGTAACTCCATCTGCCAAATCTATTTGTACATATAGGGGTCATTTGGGAGTGTTTTTTTTACCCAAAAAAATTGATTTTTTGATCGTTATTTCACTATTCCAACCATAAAGTTTGACTTTTTATCTCACAGGTACCCCTACTTTTTTTCTAACAGTCAAAAAATAAATTTTCAAAATCGCTCTCAAACGGAGCCATAGTATGGTTCATTAGAAAATCAGTTTTGGGAACTATAGTTCTTCTTTCTTAAAAAAAATAAAAATCTTTTCTTATGAAATTGTTTTGCTTTTCTTTCTATCCACGTGATTGGTACCTTGCAATTTTTGGCTACACTTGAGTACTTCACAGCAATGCATCAATGAAAACATGGAGATAAGAACAGTCAAGAAGAGAGACAAAATAATTCATTTGGTTCAGGCAATTGACCCCATGTAAAAAGGTAAAAAGTGAAAAGCAGCCAAAACTTAGGACAAAGCTAAAGATGGATCTGTATTTTATTCAATACTATATATCAAACATATCCGAATCTTATCACAAACATAACCGAACGGTAAGTTCATCATCTTAGGTTTAAAAAAAAATTAAATCCATGTTTTGTAACATTTATCCCAATAGATGTAATATCATTTTCCAAGCACATGCACTTGTTCTTGTACAGAAATAAATTCAGACATTTCAGTGTAGGCGAGGTCGGTTCAACCTCAGCCCCGTGAATTCTTGACCCCTGACAGTACGTACAATCTGTGACAGCAGTGGGGTCAAACAGAGCCTTAAGTCATTGTAAAATGTGCCCAGCCCCTATTTATCCTTGAATTAAGCTCCTTGTCAAACGAAACGTACAAAAGCATCGACTTCGCTATTTGTACATTCGGGGTTCACAAGAGAGGGATTAACAATTATTTTATTGTGTGTGGGCCCTCCTCTCTTGTAAGAGGAGTGTCATCTGGGGTGTCAACCCCGAATGTATAAATGACTTTATTGACAAAAGCATTACAAATGTACGAGTAACACTGCATCGGTAGATTGAATTTATTTATTTTTTTGTCTAACAGCCAATTAAAATCTTGAGAGATTGCAATTTGTCAAAAATATTGTCAACCATTCCTACACTTTTCAATCTCATTCACAAGTTGCACTGAGGCAGCTCAAACTGGCGTCTACTCAACATACACCAACCAACATTTATTTCACATTTACTGCGGGGTTAAAATTTCAAACTGGGATGGAGTAGAGATGTTACCTCTTCTTTCTTTTCTTCTTTGGGCTCCTCTTTAATTTCTTCCTTAACCTCCTCAGGTAGCTTTGGCAATGGTGAAATGATTTCTACTTTTCGGCCACTTTTCTTTCGAATTCTCTCGCTCACTTTTACAGGGTCTGCAGTTTTGCCTTGCACTACAACTTTACTGGCCTTGTAATCTGCCGTTACATCCTCCACTCCTGTTAAAGTTAACCAGTTTTATTTGCAATTTATAATTATAAAAAGCAATATAAAGATAAATTGACCAACCTTAATATTCCAAGAAAGACACTACTGACTAACAAGGTTTATAGAAATGACCTTGAAATCCTTTCAGAGATTTGGCAACTTTTCTGGAGCAGGCCTCACAGTGCATGTCAACCTTGAGCACAATTTCTTGAGGCTCTTCATCTTTCTTTTCTTCTTCCTTTTTCTCTTCTTCTTTTTTGCCCTCTTTGCTTGCCTCTTCGTTCTTCTCCTTCAAAAACATAAACAAATACATATCACTAGAACTATAAAAGCATGTTTCTAAATATATGAATAACTTTGTAATCTAAATTCTTGTAACCAGAAATGGCTGCATGAATAAACATGTATGTTTAAAGGCCAGAAAGTAAAAATGTGTAGTAGAGCTTGGATTTTGAGAGAAAATATTGTGCTTACTTCACCCATATTTTGAAAAGCTCTTATGAAAAGTTGAGATCTTCTCTCTCTATCTATATCTGTGTGTATGTGTTACGTGTAGTGGGTTCTACTGTAATGTTCTGTGTGTGTTTGAAAACATTTATAAGTGAAGAATGCGAAAAATGAAATTTAACGTGTAATTTCGGGTAATGACAAGTCAGTCATCCATGCTGACCTGACTTGAAGAGGAGGACAAAATGGTCATTCAATTTTTCACTTTTTTCCATCTTATTTTAGTGTTCATCATATTTATACTTAGGGTGTATATTTTAAGCGGAATTGAACTTCTTGAATTGAAATCGAGGTTTTGGCCCTGCTCCCAAAAAAAAAAAAAAAAAAAAAAAGAAGGAAAGGAATCGAAATCAAGAATCATTAATTCTTGAATTGGAACCATAAATATCCGACTTTGGAATCAAATTTGTCATTTTTTTAAATAATTTTTTCACATTGATCCAAAGACTTGATCTAACAAGTAGCAAGTTTTCAAGGTCCGGAAAAAAAGTGGTTGAAATATTTACCATGAATTAAAAAATAGTTTTTATATGTATTTTATGACATTTTATTTCTTTCATTTCTACTAGATATTAAGAAGATGAAATTGCCTTGTAGTTTATATATGTATTTGATGACATATTTTATTTGTTCTATTCCCACTAGATATTGGAAAGATAAATTGTATTTTCAGCTCATATTTTTGTAGAAAATATTATGGAACTTGAATTGAGATTCGAGTTCGGCATCTATTTTAGTAATTACGCATATTCGAATGTCTATATTAATGAAATACTTGGAATGTACTAGGGTTGTGGCTGTCGAAATACTTGGATCGACTCACTTGATGTCCAAAATTTTTTTACACCATAATTTTTATTTGTTGTATCATATTTTAATTGTACTAAGGTCCTCAATCTTTTCTCTTTATAACATTTGTTTCTCGAACTTTTTTGTCAAATTCTTATATTCAACATCCTATTAACTAACACATCTCGCTCTTTTTGACGTGTTTTCATCAAAATACTCTTTTTGAAATGAGAGAAAAGTACTCGAGTCACACATTTGCATTTATTTATTTTTTTAAAATATAATATTAAAAGAGTTATTTTACTTCCTCTCAATGGACTTTTTGGATGGAAACAGCCATCTATTAGTTAATGGATGATTGAAGATAAGAATGCATTGAAAAAGTTAAGAACATAAAAATCATAATGAGCAAATATTGATGATCTTAATTGTCCTTTAATATAACTAAAATGCAATGTAACTAATAAAAAGTGTATAGTGGATATAATTATACTTATTTTAATTTTGATCTTGGTCAAATAGGTAAGAAATGAATTTCAAATCACTATTTCTCAATAGGCTTAACGAGACTTGATCTGGGAAAGACTCACAAGAGACTATTTGGGACTTTAAAAATGTCTCATATTTTATTATGTTTATTGGAAATTTAAGAAGGGATGTCAATTTGGCTCAAACTGTTCGCGGCTCAACTCAGAAAAAGCCCGAGTCGACTCGGCCTGAAGCCCAATGGGATCGAGCCTTATTTTTGGGCATTGGCTCAAGCTCGAGTCGGCTCGTATGGTTGGCCAAAATGGCCCTTGAACATGGGCAAAAATAGGCAGCTTGTAGTTGCCTGCCAGTAGGCATTCGGGTTTCTTCAATTTAACTAGGCCTATAGTTCTGAAATTTCTATGCAAATCAAGATCGTGCACAGTTGCCTGGCAGCTACCTGTGTAAACAGGAAGCTGTTATACATACTGCTATGGAGTTGCCTGAGCTACATAGTTGCAGCTTTCTTTCTTTTTTTTTCTTTTTTTTTTTTTAAATTCTTTTCAAATTTTAGGAAAAAAAAATTGAGCCAACTTGGCCCGATAAGACCCCAGCTAAAAAGTTTGAGTTGAGCCTTTTTTTTTGTCGAGCTTTGGCTCAGCTCGAGCCATAAAAGCTCTGGACAATTTTTATTGGAGCAGTGATTGGGCCACGACCTTCATCTTGTTTACATCCCTAAATTTAAGCCTATTTTGCAATTTTCCTTCTTCGGAGAGTATTCAAGAATTCTTAAATATTTTCACCAATTTATTTTATTGAAGATTTTAAATTTTTTTCCTAGTTCCACCACAAATCGCAATCAATGAATCTAAAGTCAACTCTAAACTCAACTGCTACCTTCTTTACTTTAAACAGTGAAAGAAAATAATGTTTTATTTTAAATATCTCGTGTTTAGTGGAGATTAAAATCAAATTTTTAGTAAATTTTGGTAAAAGTTCATGAAATATGTGGTTAAACTAATTGTTGACTTTTGACTTAGATTAAAATTCAATTTTTATTCTGTACCAAATAGGGGCCTAGAGACTAAAACAGAGTTGAACTTCCTACTTCCCCTCTTGATGGGTATCTTTGGAGGGAGAGTGGGGATGTGCAATTTATTTTTGTATTTGTGTCTTAAATTATATATTTATAAAATGAGAGTTAGGGCGGGTTGAAAAATTTTGGCATCTTAAAAGCATTTTCAATGCTCTATCATTGGATTGCTATCGATGTGTTACAAGACAAAAGACATCCACTCTACTTAGCTTTAATACCTAATAAATAGCAGTGTTTTAAAAGTCATGACTCAGTGAGAAGCTTGATCTTGTCACCATCAACTCTTTACACTTTTTTACTCACACTCCCGCTTAGGCTCTTAATAGTTTGAAACTTGACATTATCGCTTATTCGCAATCTGACTTTTAGAACATTAATAAACATGCACTCAAGAGTCAAGTCTAAAATTAGTTTCCAATGCATTTTATAGATTGGGGTCTAGGTATCAGTTATTTTCTTAAATATAAAAAAAAAAAAATCTAAATTTGAATAGAACATAAAAATTCAAAAAAGAAACATGAATTTTGTTGAGTCATCTTGTCTAACAAAGTTTCTAAATTTTGATGAAGAATATCTAGACAACATTTTTCTGTCAAGTAAACTGGAAGAATCCTGTCAACTCGTATTGGATATAAATTTTTGGGAGGTGCTTCAGGTACAGGTCGAGGCTCACAGGCTTCTGTCAAGTTAGACACATTGGTGGGGTCTGTTCAATTTTTTTTTTTTAATACAGGTCAGACCCACCGATCTCCCTCTACAGTGAGGGGCCTTGCAAGCCCCTGTAGAAATAATGCCCTGTACTCAGGGCAATATTCTAAATTTTTTAGCCATTGTCCACGCTTAGTTATATCAAATAATTTTTTCACATTTCCAAGATTGCATTCGAAATGCTCTAATTGAGCCCTATTTTTTTGGGAGAATAGATTTTATAATAGCGATTTTTTTTAAAGAATATATAGTTAAAAAGTAGGAAATTTTTTAAATTTATGTGTAAAATTATTTTATTGAAAGAATCTGTGGTTAAAAATAAGTTTAAGGGGAAAACCTCTTTTTAGAGAATGTAGTTCTTATAGGAGCTAGATGTGATTCAATATAATTAACTTATTTCAAATATCTAGCAACATTAGCCACTATTAACAAGATTATAACAACCGCTATTGGTTCATGATAAGTCGAAATGGCAAATGAATCAATGAACTATGCCGAATTATTCCTAAAAATACTATTATCATGTTAGGGATGACTTATATTTAAAAATAAATACTAAACCCATGTTTGATTTGGATTAAAATTCAATTAAAATCTCAAATCAAAGTTAACATTTAATTTTAACCACACATTTTATAGGACTAATAACTTTTCAACCACACATTTTATAAATTTTTATCAAAATCTACTAAAAATCTAATTATAATCTCTACCAAGCAGATGCTAAATGTGTTGTTTGTTTTTAAAATGGACCTACCTACACTCACAATAAACTTAAATAGATCACGTATTTGAAATTTATATTTTAATAAATATAAACCACCTTATACATGTTTTTGATAAGCTCTTCCTAAAGGACTGAGCTGCACTACCCAAAAAATGGTTCTAGAAACCCTGACCTATTCTCACATTAGAGGTGAGACCACTTCTTTCTCCCAATTATTTATTCATGTGGGGCCCGTGCTTGTGAGAGAGTGTCAGTGCATCTGTCAAGCTTTCTTTTGACAGAGGAGCATTTTCCCTTCCTAAATAACCACACGTACAAGTCTACACCAATCGAGGTGACCCCTAATCTTTTCCTTCTACTTTTGGGAAAACATGCAAGTAGCAAGAACCAGAGGAGATTATAAATTTAAATTTAATGGACGAAAGTTACATTGCATGTTGAAATACCTTTTTTGGGGCCATAAAATTTTCTTGAAAGTGGTCGAATTATTATGAATTATATCTAGGGTGGAGCCCCATGGCAGTGGATTCCAAACCCCAGTGATTTATAAGAATGAAAACCAAATTTATGGTCTGTCTAGAGAACCCTATCAGGATCTTGATAGGGAAATTGAAGCTTGAATCTTGTGAGACCCTTCCCCATTACAACCACTCAGGAATTGACACGTGGATGATAACTATTGACTTCTTTTGTTATCTGCAATGAAATGAAGATAGTATGTGAAAGAATCCCTTGAGGCATATCTCAGTGGTGCAAATGATAAGAGTGAGGTATATTCAGTCTTACTGTTAGCCGCAGTGTGAGGGTTTGATTCCTGAAATTTGGATTGAGACTCTTTGTTAGTACCAGTGTACAGACAGCTCTTGTTCCTTGACTTTTTGATTCCTGAAATTTGGATTGAGACTCTTTGTTAGTACCAGTGTACAGACAGCTCTTGTTCCTTGACTTACTAGAGCACATCTTGCGATTAACCTCTCTTACAATACTCTAGGGATGCGATGGTGGAGGACCCTTAAGATTAGGATTCAACCTTTTTTAAAGATAGTATGTGAAAGAAAACAAAATGACTAGTCTATGGAGAATCTCTAATAGTACACAAATATACATCCATTATTTATTTTATTTTTGTCTCATAAGATAAAAATGGAATCAAAAGTGAAATAACATATTTTAAATTATTTAATTTTACGACACCCATATTCATGTTGATGAATCATATTTCATCTTGACATTGAATGTGGTACTGCAGCCCTAAAGATTCAACTTTTAGCAACAAAGTTG